TCTTGTTGCTGGGACAAAATACCTGATGCCCAAAATTAAGGAAGGAAAGGTTTATTTCACTTACAGTTTGTGGAGGTTTCAGTCCATACTTGGCATATTATAAGGCAGACTGGCACATGGCACAGAGCTACATGGTGGCATAACACAGCAAAGCAACAACACAAAAGCCAGGAATTGGGGAGGAATGGCCTCAAGCAGCCTCTTGCTCTCCCTTACATATGCAAACTATCCACCCCAGGGCGGGTGTGGCTCTCACACCCATAATCAATCAAACTCTAAAAGCCTGCCCCATGACCACATGAGGCTTTGGGGGGACAGCCAGACACAAACCATAACACTTCTGAACTTTAGAAGTCATGTTTTTGAAAAGGGCTTAGGTTTTCCTTAATTTAAAACTTTCTTGGATCTTGGGTACAAAGTGGTTCATAGCCAAGTGTGGTGGTGCACACCTGTAATTCCATCATGTGGGAGGCTGAGGCAGGAGGACTGCTTTGAGTTCCAGGACAGCCTGGGCTACAAAGAAAATTCAAGGCCAGCCTGAACTGCACAGTGAAACCTCTGCCTCAAAAAGACAAAAAACAAAAACAAACAACAAAAAATAACCTACCCAAAAAACAAAGTGGTTCATTGTACTAAATTCTTTTCCAAATGTTTTAAAATGTTCATATCAGTTGAAAGAAAAAAAGTTTGGAACTCCTGACAGTTAACTTAAAATATGGAAAAATTTATATCACAATTATATTTTTAAAAAATGACCTTTTATAGCAAACTCCAGTCCCACATAAAGTAATTCTGGGGGGGCGGGTGGCGACTAGAAGTTGAATCCAAGGCCTCTGCCCTGACCTACATCTCAAAACTTTTATTAAAAATTTTTTTTGGCAACAGGATCTCAGTAATTGCCCGGGCTGGGCTTAAACCTGCAGTTCTCCTGCCTCAGCCTCTCAAGAGTGCTGGAATTACAGATGTGCACCACTACGTCTGGTGATGTCTATTTTAATGCCTTCAATATCCTCTCATTATAGTAATTATTCCACTGAGATTTTACATTTGCATCCATACCTGTTTCTTATAAGGGCGGATACAACTTATTCTTAGTTTTTAATCTAAACTGGCCTATCTAAACGCTATTAGATATACCCACAGAGAAATGTCAACAGACTAAGCTTAGAAATACAACTGCAATACGGGAGTTTTTAAATTTAAATATTTTAGCTGGATTTTACTTTGGTAACTGGGTTCCCAAAACTGTATACACATTAAATTGTGCATATACATACAACAACAGTACTTTTAGCTCAGCATTTGAGAAGGAAAAAAAAAAGACTTTAAAAAATATATACTTAAAATTTTCTCTTTTAGGCAATTTTAATATATTAAAAATTTAGGTTTTTACTATCTCCAGGACTACTAATTTTCTTTTGAATATTATCTCAAAATATACAGAATATTACCTAAAATACTTTTTTTGTAAAGGTATACTGTATTATTATTCTAAAAGTAGGGCATTTCCTTGGTTACAGAAACAAGAACTAAAAGCATGATAGAAATTGAAGGCCATTATTAGCTAGGCATGGTGGTGCTTTTTGCCTGTAAACCCAGCACCTGGGAGACTGAGACAGGGAGATCATGAGTTCAAGGTCAGTCTGGGCTACACAGTGAGTTTGAGGACAGCCTGGATTGCAGTGAGATCCTGTCTCCAAACCAAACCAAACACCTTCAAAATACTAAAACTCCTGACTTATACAAACCCCAATGTGTGTTACTTAGACTGTATGTCAGATTTATTCTCCTTTATATACCAAGAAAACCACAGATAGTACACGAAGTCTAGAAATAAGTTTTCAAAGATGTCAATCTATTCACAACAAATTATAAAAGAGAGGTAAAGATGTAGAGAATGCAAATATAAAAATAAAACCACTTATTTTCAAAGTCTGCAAGGATGGTACAGGTAATTCTCTGGCATAAAACTGACTGAAGATCACAATAAAATTTTCACTTTACAGAATCACCAAATGAGATGAAAAACAAATTTTCTCCAAAGAGTAAGATCCACATTATTTATAAAATGTAGAATGTGTTATGATTAAAGACCATAGATCTCTCTTCTTACAGTTTCACTGCAATTCAAAATATATTTAAGAGACCGAAACTGTTTTAATTAACATGAGCAAGGCATTCTGGCAAAGCAGAAAGCTTAGCACATTTATCAACACTATTTTGTTCAAGGACATCCATATTTATCACTACGTTTGCATAAGTATGTATGAATGTACATATACATTACACATTTATATATTAAATAGCTTTTTAATGGTGAAGAATACCCAAAAATGCAGAGAAGTATACAAAATATGAATAGTAAGCATAATCAATTATTAGGAAGCAAATTACCATACATCATCACTAGATCAAGAAATTAATTGCTAATAATCCAGAAAGCCCCTCTGTGCATTCGAGATGACAAACCCCTCCCTGCGTTCTTCTCAATCAATACCTG